CTCGCACTATTTGCCGGACTCTTACTCCGACCCTCTCTACCTCAAACCTAGCAGCCTGAGCGGCCGTGCATTTCCGTAACCGTCCGCTCCCGTTCGTGTATCCAGTTGCGTTTGCTGATTTTACGCGACCCCAAAGATCAGCACCTACGGTTGCGTTTCTCGATTTTACGCGTCCCCAAAAATCGACAGGATCCGTTAAGCTATCGCCTCTTCTGATAGGTTCCGTCAGAGCTCTCGTTCTTGGTGGAGTTGGGCCTGTTCCATCCCAACTCCCAGTTTATACCGGCTCGTCAGTTCCCGGTGAAAAAAGAATTGACTGGCGCCCGCCTGGCTTGCGGATGCACGAACGACGGGCGGACGGCCGAAGGTAACGTAGGTTGGTTCTCGAAGATAGTCGTTCCCGTATGTCTTGCTATCGGTGTCGGGTCAAGTTAAAGAAAAATTACGTTACAGTACATTTCACACCCTTTAGACATCGTCTCGGTTGGTTATCGGTCGCCAATCGCAGGTAATATTTTCTTGGGGCGTATGCATATCAAATACGATATGGCAATGGCGTTGGCTATCTCTGCGAGCTTTTTATTTCAATCATCTCCGAAACACGGCGCTCTACTCCTTTCTATAGAACTGAAACCTATCACAATTTCTTTCATCTCTCCACTATTCGCTTTTGGCACTGCTCTGTCAAACTTTACCTCATAGTTTTTCTAAGGCATCAATCAATAATCAATCAATCAATCTGTCTCTCTCTCTCTCTCTGTCTCTCTCTCTCTCTCTCATCAGAATCAGACCGCGAGACGTCGAGGGCTTGTAACGCTCTTTCTATATGATTCCTCCATAGTCCCTTTAACAGACAGGCGTAAAAATTTATATGTTCAGTTGCAAAAAATTCAAGGTAACCTTGAAAAAACCTTAAAAAAAAGAGTTGACCAGTAATTTTTCACTATCACGTTAAAGCTCTCTTTAACGCTCTTTCTATATGATTCCTCCATAGTCCCTTCCCTGTCTCTCTCTCTCTCTCTCTCTCTCTCTCATCTCTGCCATGGCGACAAGGAGTTGTGAGCTATCTTTGTGGTCTATTAATATATGTTAAAATACGGGTATTATCTTTAATAAAAATTATTCTGAAGTGACTGGTGTGTTGCATACAGAGTGTACAACGAATATACAGGGTGGACCACGGAGCGTGATCAGTAGAGATTACTTTGTTATTAGCAGTCCGATCGAAAATGTATTTATGTGAAATATATTTGTTGCTTGACCTGTTCACTTCTCGTAACTTATATCTAAAATATTCCTACGCGACCATAGTGACTGTTACTTTGGATTCAATTACTTCAACACTAGAACTGAACACAAACTGTGAATTTGAAAGTCTGAAACTTAATGCATCATGATATGCAGTCCTGGTGAAGTTTAGTGGGTTGCACTTTTATGCAGACTGAATCCTTGTCTCAGTGTATTTCTTGCTTCGTAACCGCTTAACGCCCTGAAAGATTATTTGATTTATTGCTAATGACTAATGACAGTGATTAGTGACATTGACAGCTTCATGAAATGTAAATATTGTCTACTCACTTGCTATTGCTCTAGCCAGCTAGTGTGCGCTGCCTTACCGAGTGTCAGTTACGTTGTGTACTAATAAATTGTACAGCCATATCCTCGTTACCGACTGTCCTCACGCATGACTAGGGTATATTTTTTCGGCTGCAAGCAGTATATGAAAAGTGAGAATGGTCTAAAATGCTTAGGATTTGGCTGTGATGCTTATGGTCACCAAAGGTGTATAATACGCAGTGACATTATTTCTACACTAGCTCCAGCCAAAGTTTATATCAACGAAAGACTGTCTGCTGAGAGGCTCAAACTTCTGGATTTGGTTCGGGCTAGAGTTAAACCTCATCCGGAGCTCAAGTCGTGGACTCATCATGGTGCCATTTTCGTGAAGAAAATCGGCTCGTCATCTTCCATCCGCATCGACCATGAAGATGACCTAGTGAAGATCTTATCATGACGGAAGCCGGCACAAAATGTCCTTCCAAGCATATTGGAGTGTAAAGACTTAAAAGTTTGTCATGTTAATGCACAATCGCTTATCTCCCATATTGATGAATTTTGTGAATACCTCTCTGTCAACCACTATCATGTTATCGCTGTCTCTGAATCTTGGCTCAAATCTCACATGCCGGATCATGTAGCCGAAATCCAAGGATACAATCTTTTTAGGTGTGACAGAATAGGTAGAGGAGGTGGCGGCGTGGCTATCTATGTTATTGAGTCATTGGCTGCTTCAATCGTTGCGTTCTCTGAAGGAGAGTATTGTTCTCGGCCAGAGTTTCTGTTTCTAGAAATTAAGTTTCCTGGTACTACAGGAATGCTATTGGGAGCTGTCTATCGACCTTCGAAAGTGGGTTTTCTTAGTGATCTTGAACAAATCTATGCTCGTCTTTCTCATGCTTATTCAAATATTCTTATCATAGGTGACTTCAATGCTGATTTGCTGGTCCAGTCCTTCGACAGCTCTTACATGCACTCCTTTATTGCTGGAAACAACTTGCATCTCATGCAGCACACTGCTACTCATCATACTCGCGGGGCGCATACTTGGCTTGACTTATGTATGGTGGATAGTTCTTCCAAGGTCACCTCTTTTGGGCAGTCCTCAATTCCTTTCATGTCTGCTCACGATCTCATTTGGGTTACGTATTCTCTTAAACCTCCTCAGGTGCATGAGTGGAAAATAACGTACCGTAACTTAAAAGCTGTGGATAGAGCTATCCTGCATACCAAGTTGGAGCAATGTAACTGGTTGAGGTTGTTTTCTGCTTCCTCTGTGGATTCACAAGTTGCAATTTTAAATTAATATCTTGAGGACACCTTGGACGAACATGCACCAGTACTTTCTTTTACACCACGCCGAGCTCCGACACCGTGGATGAATCATAATATAAGAACCTCTATTAAAGAAAGAAATAGACTTCGTAGGAAATACATGCGCTCTGGGATTCAGTCGGACTTTTCCAAATATAGAACTCTGCGAAACAAAACACAAGCTCTCATAAAGCTGGCTAAAAACAAGTACAACCGTGACGTGCTCTCTGCATCCAAGGATCCTCGTATTGTATGGAGTTAACTGCGCAGACTCGGCATCATCAGCCCTGTTAAGCAGTGTCAAATTGCGGGCATGTCCCTCAACGATATAAACCTACATTTTTCTATGTCCTTTCACACGCACGATGATATAGTGGATAGGTTTGACATCTCTCAGGCTCCAGAACAATTCGGCGCTGATAAGTTCTACTTCAAGTACATCCAACCATCAGACCTTGTTGGCGTGCTATGTGACAATGACTCGCGTGTGATGGGACCAGATCATCTACCTATGTCGCATGTTTCACCTTGTCTTGAAGTGATTTTTCCTTTTTTGCTTGACCTATACAACCAATCACTCTCGTCCTCTACGTTTCCAAAGGAATGGAAAAGGTCTTATATACGTCCTATCCCAAAAGGGCGTGGAGTCCCATCTTCACCCTCGGACCTTCGACCTATTGCACTTATTTGCAGTCTGTCTAAACCCCTAGAGAGAATAGTTCGGGAACAAATGGTGGAGTTCTTAACTAAGCGTGGTGGTTTAGATCCATATCAGTCTGCATACAGAGCTGGATGCAGTACTGAAACTGCTCTGGTTCGTGTGGTTGATGAGATAGGTTTCGCGG